GGACAAACCCCACACCAAAAATAGTGCCGACAGTTTGATAGAAGAAAATTTGATTGAGATAACCCCTCCTTGGGAATATAGGTGCTCGGATGTAGCACCTATGCTCCAAGGCACCCAAGACTTGGCACCTCGGCGTAATATCATGAGGCCTAGTTTCTGTTCTCTTTATATGGCTGATGAAAAATTGATGGAAATGAGCCTCTATCTTAGCATCTATGCATTCAACACAAATGAAACACCATCCCTGAATTTTAAACATATCATAAAAAACATAAAGTTAACATAAAAATGATTAAAATTAAACAACTAATAAACACAAAACTATGTATGACAGGTCTTACTCAATGATCTAAGCTTCAAAAAAGTGGATAAGATTAGTGTAAGAGTGGACTGTCTCGCACTTTAATGACAAGTAGAAATGTGTTGAGCAAAGTCCGACAAGATTGACTCCTATCAACAGCTTAGGATCCACCCATAGAATCTAACGAACCTCTACAATGAACCTGAGAAAGTAATCTTTAAGCAAATCTCTTTCATTCTAACATATTCTTAAAAGATGGAATGAATCCTTGATGGTCCTCTGGTTTGCAATGAAATGCTTCATAAATAGTCTGGTAAGCTCATTGAAGGTATTAATAGCTATCCCTAGGAGAGAGTAGAATCATGCGCAAGCTTGACCCTTAAGAGTGCCAAGAAGCACTTTACGAAGAAGGGTATATAAGGCACATTAAATGTGCACGATAGTTTGATAGTGGTCGACATGCTCATAGTGTTTAGTTATCCCCTCATAAGAGTCAAACTTGGTAGCTGGAAACCTGTTAGGATGGGGTGTTATGAGCGAATGCCTTGGGCATAAGGAAGGATTCTTGTAAGTTATGATGAGCTAAGAAGCGATTTGTATCCCTTAGAGGGAATTCTTTCTAAATCATGTGTTGTGGCTCTTCATGAATGACATCATCAAAAGTAGCAATGAGGTAGTGTTGTGTCAGGTGAGTTGCATGAGACAAATGAGTGAAACTTGCATTATATAGAAGGTCAACATCCTGGCTTGGCAGGGTAAGGGTTCTCTCACAAGGATAAGGTCATGTATGAGTATGTTTGAGGGGGACATTTCCCATCAGTTGTTGAATTAGTTGTAGCTAAGCTCCATTCAGTTGTGTGAGCATCAGTTGTCAGGCCTGACCTTGAAGCTGAAGGTTCTCATGTTGGAACTCCTCCATCATACAACAACCCTCTAGAGAAGAGCCCTTTATAGCTTCACCTGCAAAGTAACACTTCTAGGGTGGAAAGATGTGGAGGCATGACACCCTTTGCTCTGTGACTGTCCTCTAGAATGATGAATGTTAGAGTTAGGCATTCTATTTTTGTGAGTATTACAACTGGTACCAATACAACAGGCTTTTCAAGTACTTTGGAGGTGGGATTGATGTTCCCATAAATGACGACAAATTGATGCGTGTTGGATAATTTTTGGTGATTGACTAATGAATTATTGTCTTAGCATTGCACAAGAATCTATCATGCACTCATGTAATAAAAATAACATGAATAAACACCAAAAATTTTTACATGAAAAAGTTGAAAAGGGAAAAAATGATGAGGCTTGGACAAGTTAAAATGATTCACTATGAGTTAAAGATTACACATATTAACACTTGTCCCACAAACACGAAAGCATTACACAACTTTTTCTAGCTACAATGGTCATGGATAGAAGAGCTTATTGCCCCATGATATGGAGTGGTCACAGCAGGGAGTAGGTGTTAGAGATTCACTATAAAGTCTTCAAGTTTGGCACGATGTTAATGATCATAGTCTACTTTGTATGATGCTTTGTGAGTTTGCGACGTTAGTAGTTACTTTGAATAATGCTTCTTCACTCTATAAAACATGTATTTACTCCACATAGAGCTTCACTACAATGAGTAGAGGGTGGTTGATAGTGGTTGATGGTGGTCGGTAAGTGGAAGTTGACGGTGGCATGCAACTGCAATAGCGGGAGGTATTTGCGATATCTTCGATGCTAAAGCGATACTGGACTTCATGTCATGCTCTAAGCTTCAGTCTTCTTCTGGCTCAAGGTGTAAGTCCCCTCTCAAGAGAATGGTAGGGCTCTATTTATAATCTAAGAGTTGTCTGTCTGCAAATAAGGAATGAATTCAGACCACTTCAATTGACAGCTTAAAGAGATTCCCTCAATCAGATGAAATTCGATGAACATTTGAGTCCCTTAATGTTATCGGAATTGAGCAATCTAAATGCCGTTGGATTCTTGTCGTTGAGACGCTCAATTTGATCATAAACTTATTAAATTTAGATATTATTTAATTTTCCAATTATGTGTTGAAAGATTCTAAAAGTGGTGTAGTGGCTTGATCTTAGCCTAATTTGATTCGAATTGAACTAATTTTGGCATCTTTGAGTTTGTCTCATCGAGCCGGTCAGTTTGAGTATAAATTTGTTTAAATTTGACTTCACCATAAATTTTTACTGAAGTTTAAATAATTTTTTAAAATTTTATCTTGAAATTTGTGACATATTTTTCTTAACGGTATACCAATATTATTTTTAAAATTAACAATTATAAATTTCTTGAACTAGATTATTAGTTAGGCAAAAGAAAATTATATTTTAAAAATATTAATTTGAATAAAAAGTATAAACATTAATCAACTAATCAATATCTTCAACTAAAAAAATAATAGATTTTTTAATTTTAAATATAAAGCATCCTATTCTTAAGCAATTAAATGTTCAAAAATATTTTAATTTATACTTCTATTATTCAAATTTGTCAAATGCAGTACCAAAAAAAAAACACAAGTGATCAAGATGCATAAGGTATGCATTTATAAAAAAGGATGCGATGGGCACTATAAAGTGAAACTATCAGAAACCAAAAATGCCCTCAGATATGGATTTCATAAATATAATACAATTTGACGACAGCCCGAGAGAATCATGGGTCAAAATCAAACTAAAATCATGCACTGCGACGGATGATAAGCCAAAAAAGATACCGAGAAAAACGCACCGCGCATTCAAAACAGTTAGGTAATGGCAGATAACCATTTAATGGACCACAGTAGCTTTTACTTATAATTATTGTTTAATTTATATATGATTACAATCAAATCTAGGATCATATATATCACATCATTTTTATGTGGTTATACATCTAATATTTAACTTATTTATTTATCTGTAAAATATTTTAATTTCTAGATCAGGTAGATGCTTGAGGGTAGGGTCCTCTAATATTTAGGTTCATGTGTCAGATCCCACGAGGGTTTAGCCAATAGGATGGGTTGGGGACTTCAGGCCCCGACCCATTCTTTTAAAAATAAAAATTAATATATATATATATAAATCTTTTTATTGCAATTTTATAAATTTGTTTATTTTACTTTGATATCTTAAAATTTTATATATTTGAAAGAAAATATATAATTATATGTCCCGATGGATATAGTAAAAATTTTCATTGTGAACATAAACTCTTAAATTCAACCAAATTCTAAAAAATTAATAGATAAATGATATTTAAATTTTACTTAAGAGATTTATATAAAAAACATAAATATATACTAAAAAAAAAATTGCAGATATATTATATGATGGCGAAATTCACTATTTTTTTCTAATAGATGATTTTAAAAAGACCAGATTGCATTTTAAAGGAGATTTTAACTCTCTTTGCCTTACCACACAGGACGCCCCACATGACAGTCCTTGAACAAAATGTATTTAGGAAAATAATTTAATTTTATGCATTCTAAATATATAGATTAAAAAAGAAATCTCTTCTAAAATATCAGAGATAGCAAATTTTATTTATTAAATTGATTTATTTAAGTTCAGTGGTATAGCCTGTAATACAAATTTAATACAAGAGAAGAATCCGAACCTTCAAAAACAAAATGAATGGTTTTTCAAGCTAAACTATTCGGGCAATACAAATTCAACAATTGATTAAATATTGATGAATTCGAAAACCTGTCGATATCCTCTTGCAAAAAGAAAAAGGATGAAAGTCTAATCCAAACCGACGGATGGTGATCAAACGATAGGCGTGCAGCAGTCCGGGCACCGAACAAGGCCGTTCTCATTGCAGCATCCGCAGGACCGGAATCCGCCCTTGTCCGTATGGCACTTCCTGCTGCCGTTGCATACTGAGCATAGAAGAAACCTTACGCCGCCACATGCCTCGCAGGCGCTCGCCGCAGCCGGCGGTGCCCCCTCGATGTAGAGTTTAAGCTCGCCCGATTCGTGAAGCTGACGGATCTCTTCTGCCCCGCCGATGTAACGGCCGCCAATGAAGACGCGAGGGAGGCTGAGCTGTTGCCGACCAAGGAGGCCCTTGAGTTCTGTGAGAAAAGCGGAATCCATCGTCAGATCCCGCTCATCGACGGCAACACGGAATCCGCGCAGGATGGATCGTACCATGCGGCAGTCCTCGAAGGTCTTTCGCACAACACGGAGGCTCGTGTAGTAGAGAACGATCCGCTTGTCACCGGATTCGGCGAGGGTCGATGACTGCAGAGATCGCCAGGTCCGAAGCGCGGCGGTCGCCATTCGGACGCGGTGAAAGACGGAAGCCTTCCGACGGCAAGCGGCGCCGGTTTCGTCCTCGTCATGTAAGAGGGAGTGGATGTCCTTGAAGGAGGGGGTAGCTACCGAAGAGGGGAGGTCGGCGGCGGGGCTAGAGGTGTCGTTGCGAGAGGGCTTGCCCCATTTAGGCCACATCTGTTGGGGTTTCGATGGCGATTTGGATGGGTGACAGAATTCGATAACGAGGGAACGGGGAGGGATTTACCTTTCTCGTCCTCGGCGTTTGGGGGTAGTCGGGAAGCCGGGAGCGATTCATTTCACGGTTTATTTTAGTTTTTTTTTTAGTATTGAAATAATCATTGAGGAAATTTAATGATTTTTTTTTTATGGTTTTTTAATAGCTAAAATTGGTTTTCTTTTTTCTTTTTTCTTTTTTATAAGTTGAGGGCTAAATT